AAGGTGAGATCGATAGACTGAAGCGGCTGCCAGAGGCGCCTGATATGCTGATGTCTGTTCTCAACCTTACACTGCACCCGTAATTCAGCCTCTGGGCTGCAAGTGGTCAGATATAAACTATATTTACATACCAAGCGCAGTACACTTGACATTGTACATATTGTATTTAAAAGCCTTAACAAGTCAGCAGATTGTTCAAATGAATACAAGTTTAACGCGAGTTCTTTGTTGTTGACACTAAAATCTGATCTGTTACCAGACTGAATGGAGACACAGCTCCTCAACTCTTTCTTTAGAGGAAGCGAACGATCTCGAAGCTTTGTTTAAAGACGCCATGGCTACCCGCTTTAATAGCAATGAAGGTAATGGACACTGATCATTTCAGTTGAATTCTGTATAATGTGGTTGGTGGAGTACTTGTATTATTGGTCATGTGAAATTCGTGCGAGCTTAGTTTTGATTGTCTTGTTTTAATGTTCGCTAGATGAAGATGTTCAGTGGTACGATGCACAAGAGTATCTTCCACACGAAAGGTGTGTCATTCGGTTTCCATTAGCCCATTTCCGAATTACCCTTGGCCTCATTTTTAAAACGAGGCCTGGTGCTCAACCATTTTTGTGAAAATGCGTTTAATTTGCATGTGAATGAAAACTTATAATCATATCAAACGATGAGCACCAGGACTCGTTTTGAAAATATGAGGGCAAGGGTAATTCGGAAATGGGCAATTCATTTTGATAAGGCCGGAAAGTTTTGTTCCCTTAACGTCTTCTGTATCATAAAACGTGATTGGGCATGTGATAAATTTAAACAGAGGAAACAGACGAGAAAGAGTTGTTGGTATGACGAAAGGGTGAGGGTTAAAATCCTAATCGTTCTTAGCTTTGTGTGACATGTGACATGTTTAGTTACATATTTCTGCCAAAAACTTGACTTGGGTCATATGAGTCATAATGGTAGAATCGGCCAATTTCGTGATGTGGCGTGTTACACTGAGTGAAAGAAAAAAAGAGAAGGAGAGATTGAGGGAGAAAGGTAAAAGGAGAATTAAAAGAATTTTATAGTTTGCAGACCTTATCCAATCGAAAGACGCACTGTTCTGGTGATATCTTTCTCTTCTTGATATGCAGTGAATATACATTTTATTCATTCAGGCCTGAAGATGACCAAACTTTGCTCGTTGAAGCGCATGAAGTCGACAAGATCAAATTAGCGGGAGATTTTACTATTGAGAAGGTATTCGTGGAGGCTAATTCCTTTTTTTCGTTTCTTATTTTTGGACCAATGTGCCATTTGAACACCACAGAGGTAAATGTTGAAAATTGATGTTAAAAAAGAAAAGAGTTTTTGGTTTTTTGCAATTATTTACGTGTATAACTCGATTTTGACACTTTAAAAGGTACTTTGATGTTGATTATCGTGGGTGGATATTTGGCTAAGAACGCTAAGCATCGCAAGAAAAAAGAAAAAAAAGAAAAAAAAAAAAAGAAAAAAATGAAAAAACCAAACAAAAACAAAAAGCGCACTAGTCAGTATCTGTGCTGTTTATTCCTTACAGTTTTATGTGAAGTTTATTTGACTCCGGCTTGGCTTTTTCAGCTCCTTATCACTGTTGACAAGGTAGATGAACAAGAAGCTGCTGGTAATCCATATTTGTCTCTGGAAATAAGAGATGTTGGCACAGATTTGGTTGCTCATTCGTGGGACCTTCATGCCAAAATAAAAATTGGATTTATACAGCTCACTGATAACAACTGGAAAGGTACGAGACTTTGAGCTGGTTTATTTCTTTTTGTTCTTTTTTATTCCAGGAAAGTGAACTGTATAAAAAAAAAAAAAAACAAAAACAAAAAACAAAAAAACAAAAAACGATATACTTAACGACTATTTCATGGAGACGTTGGATATGAGTTGATAGATAGCTAACGAAGGACGTAGCGCAGATCGGGCTATCACCCATGCATCGCAATTCAGAAAGAGGTTTTTAAAAATTAACCAAACGAAATGGTTCAAAATCTGCAGTGAAAAAACTGATTTTCTCTGTTTCCTTTGCTGACGTATACACTCAGTAAATCTGGGTCCATGGTGTATTAACTCAGATATGACTTAACACTTAACTTTTTATAACGGATCAAAATTTCACGGACCCAATAAACTTAAAGTAAATATCAATTATTTTTCTCCTGGATACAGACGTTGATGGCAGCAACCTTTGCGTGTTGACTTCGTCCGCCACAGATGACTGGATTACCGTCAATTACGTCAAGGTAAATTCTAAAGTTCATCATCGTTTTTGTGATGGGAACTTCTTTGCAGTTGTTAAAAATTTGTTATGAAATTATGACACAGACCACTTGTTTAGATTCCAATGAGTGACCTGATCTTCCCCTAAATTGGCTTCTGAGACTTGACGCCGTCATTTGGAGTCGTCCTGAGCAACCTGGCCGCTTAATAGTGACATCACAATTTATCACCCATTTTTTAATCGTTCTCAATGCGATCTGTTTGAAGAACTAGGGGCCATAAGAACACGCATTCTCCATTTTAATTAATGATTTTTTTACATGAGCGGCAAGGTTACAGAGGTTTTTAAAATGACAACGATAAAGTCGAACTTTATGCACCATAGAAGACCATTTTCGAATGATTTTTATAACATGTTTGTAGGTCACCTTAAATACCTTTTTGGAGAAAGGAGACGGAGGTGTTCTTTAACTTGCTTCAAGTAAAACTCCTCTTAGTTAATCGTATATGTAACGCTCGTAAAAGAATGTCCTAATTATTGTATACTTTTTTCCTTTGGATGTGTCAGGCCGATACGGCAGGCCCAGAGTTCAAAGAAAAGTTTCAGTCAATTGAGCAGTTGATTGAAATGAGGTTCAGCTCATTAAAACTGACAGCCAAACAAGAAGCTATTGCAAGTTTTCAGATATTTGTCATGAGTCTTTTTCAAAGGTAAATTTAGGGCTAGCTGTTTTAATACACTTTCTTGGGTAAAGACGCACTTTTATCGAAGTACCTTTTGATTGTTAGAGTTAGAATTATTTTAAAAAATACAGTCCTTTTTAGTTGAATGGCTAAGATAAAATGCCAAAAAGACCAAAAACTTTGAGGTGAATTTTGCAGCTCTTGAAGCTTCTTACAGATGAACAACGAGTTTGGGCGATTTTAAAGTGGATGAAGTAAAGTGGCAATTGAACTTCGTGTCATGCAGTTTTTGTCTGAAATAAAATGTGAAATCACGTGTTTGATTTTAAACCAAATTGTTATTTTTATTATTATTTTTATTATTATTTTATTATTATTATTATTATTTTTATTATTATTATTATTACTATTTGGACCTTGCAGTGAACCTGAGTGGACAACAATTCCTCAACGGTTTCTGGAGACAATCAGGGAAGAAGATGACCCTGATGGCTCGGTTGGCAAAGGTATTGCACTGACACTAAAAGGACAACTTCTGACCTGGTGTCACGAGTAATCTTGGATTGCCATGACTTCCTCTTTTGCTATGCTCTGTAATTGGTTAATCGCAGTGGTGCTATCTGCTTAACCAATCGATGTCAAAAACAACACTTACCTGGTCACGTGTGTTTTCCCACTTTTCCATGTAATGTTAGCCTTTGCTCTGATTGGCTAGTTCACTGCTTTTTGAAATGTAGTTTTTAAGAAACTCGACCAAAAGGCGCCCGAGGTGGCTAATGCCTTTGTGAAACTCTGGACTGGGTAGACATGTCATGGAATGAATTCCGTTCTAATATTTTATAGAGCTTGTGAAAGGTGAAGATGAAGGAAAGAAGGCTCAGAGTGATATTGATGTCGTGCACTTCAAAATTGTTGCACAAATAGAGGAAGTAACTGTCATCCTCAGCTCAATGGATCGCCATGTTGGAAAGGTGCATGTCACAGGTTGGTAGCTTCTGTCCTCATTGTCTCTTAGCAATATTGCTTGAGGCGGATGATGAATATCGTGCTGTACTCATTTCAGTTTGTGTTTTTTTGACATTCAGGTCTTGATGTCAGCATAGATGTGGTTCCCGCTGAGGTGGACATTACAACTAAGTGAGTACTTCAACAGTATAACGAAGTCGAACTCTTTTCCTTCCATTTGGAGAATAAAAGCTCAAGACAGGCCACGCAGTATGGTATAAGCAGTAATCATCACAATTATTGGAAAATATAAGTATTACAACAAGTGAAACTCGCCTTTGCACTGAAAGAAAAACGTTTTTTAGTATCCTATCTCTTCTGTAAAATTTCTCAAAAGCGGCCATTTCTTTTGTTGTGAAAGAGTGGCAATGTGACGGGAAAGTCGTATTCTTTAGTTCTTGCTCATGTTTACTCCACATTCAAATTTGAATTGTTTTAAGCTTCCTATCAGTCATCCCTATGTTGCAAAACAAATGTTCGTGGTAGTTTGATAAAGTAAAGCGAGTCTGCGTATGAGTTAAGTGGCCCAATCTTCTCCTTGTTTTATCGGCCTCAAGCGAGCAGGGTTATTGCCACTCCCCTTTAATAGGATACTCTGAGGCCTCTCACTCTCCTCGCGCTATTTTTTTTTAGGTTCCCGTCTACAAATCACAAGTAATTGTTTCTACTCCTTGGTGGAGGGAGCCACTGTGACTTCTCTCTTCAGAGATCCAGCGCGCTAACCCTTAAGTCACTGAACTGGCTTAAAATTAATCCTCAATGCTGCCTTTTTGATTTTTTAACTCTGGATTTGATGCAGACCTCTTAAAGGCTTGTTATTCATTTTGTTTGCCAGGTTGAATGACTTGGATATTGAAGACCTCACAGATGGAACGTTGTATCCTCAAGTAAGATTGATTTGTTCGGACTTGTCTTTTTAGAGCAGTTTTCAGTCGAGTTTCGAAAATCCAAAACCAAAGTAATCACAGCCAATCGAAGCAAAGGTCGGCGTCACGTCGTTGTTAGCCAGTGAGAACTCAAAGTAAAAACATGCAATGAATCTGATTGGTTGAGGGGGTGGCGCGAGTTTTCTGGACCAATCAAAGAGCGAAGTTACGAAAAACTAAAGTAATTATGGATTGCTTTCAACACTGAATCAGTGAAAAGTGCCCTAGCATGACATAACACGGTAGAGAAATAAACTACGATTTCGTCGCTTTCTCTGATAAGGGATTGTTCATTTTTGATAGTTGTTGTGAGTATTTGCTGGTTGAAGTGACCTGTCTCATAAAGACATTTCAACAGAATCAAAATGCAGCTGTATGTCTTTTCTTATTCATTAAACAGATTTTAGACTTGGCAGATAACACAGTTTTCGAATGCAAGGTTAGTTGAGTACCTCGTTAAATATTTTTTGGCACAGTTATCGTTACAGGTTAAAAGTTTAACAAGGTGTTGATAAAGAGTATTATGTACCAAATTGTATTCTCCTTTTCTGTACAACCCTAAGGTAACTATATTCAACAAGTCATTACAAGGCGCCATTGCCGACCAGGATCCTACAGCTCTCGATTTCTCAGTCAACGTAAAACTTGGAAAACTCCGATTTGTATTCCTGGGCTATTTTGTGATTCATCTTCAGGTTAGTGGTTGTTCCTACCTAAAGTTGGTTTTGCGCATACGAGTCCCTTGCGAAACTTGTGTGGATGAATAATGTAGCCTAACAGGCACTTGTTTCTTCTCTTCTGGTTTCAGAATTTCCTTCAAGCAATTGCGAGTCCGGAAACTGTTGCATATGCACAGAAAGTAACCCAAAAAGCAGTTCTAAACCAGGTGAAACGTATATTAAATAGCTATGTGCCCTCAACAAACTAATAACAACAAGAACGTCAACAGCACTTATAACATCTACTCGATAGTATGTGGCGACTTGTTTTGACCAGTGATCTTTATTTCTGTTTTTGTTTTCGAAAGCATTTACTGACTCGTACAAGTTGAGATAGTTTTAGTTCTTTTATCTCGCTTTATAGTTTACTTCACAGTTCTGTAAAATCCGTAGCGGCTGCTTGTTGTCTTGTAGCTTTAGGAGCAATGGATAAATTAAGAATTAAGCTGCGTGTATTCCGGCTTACAATTATTGGGCTGTTTGGAACGGGTCACCGGTTCGGTATTTAATACTTTTTGGCTCACTGGCTTATTCTAACTTGCTTTTTAGGTTCAGCACATCCAAAAACAGGGAGCAAAAATTGGATTGAACATTTCTGTAAATGCACCACAAATTATTATTCCTTGCAATTCAAGGTCGAGCGAAAAACTCGTTGCAGACCTCGGAGAATTGCATGTTAGTAATTCTCTAATCAACTCATCCCAGTATGGACTTACTGACCGCATGGATGTACGATTCAGTTCATTTCAAGTCTCAGGGTATACCTTTCATTTTATATCTCTTTGTGGGATAGTGGAATATTCGTTGAAGTTCATTCTATCTTACAAAGATGATTATAAACATTGTAATGATTCTTCCATATTTTTTCTGTTATTAAGCTTTTCTCAAGTGGAGAAACATCTCAATGAGCATTTGATAGAACCAGTTGAGTTGAATGTCATTGTAAAGAGAAGACTGGAGCTGGATGTCAGCGATCTCCCTTTGATTGAAGTAGAGGGGAGTTTGGAGCTGTTTAAGGTAACGATCTGGCCATTCACGGGATATCATGGTGTATCCTGCAGTTCATTACAAAGACGCTTCTACGGTATAGTTCAACCAATGGAAAAACCCCATAATCCTATGAACTCAACTATAGTTTATTAAATGATGTGTAATATTCTAACTCAGGAGCGACTCCAATAGACACTACAGTAATTATCCTCAATAACTGTTTTCTCCAAAGTTCCTTGAAATTAACAATTTACCACAACAGTTCTCTCTGTTGATGTAGCTTTCTAAACAGTCGGTCACTCCTATTAGTCGAGTCGACTAAGTCCCTATCACATTTACAAAGTATTCTGGAACATTCCAGAAGCTTAATTACATCATGACAACGAAACCCGACAAAAGGTTTTGGAAAGTCCTATAGAAAGTTCATGTATGCAAGTCAGCGTGACTAAGCATTCCAGAAGTTTCCCAAAACTTATTTTAAGTCACTCCTCATAACAACGCCTTTTCACAGGCGAGATTTTCTTAACAAGCTTCCCCTTGAAAACTTTTCTGGTTCGATCTTGATAGACTGGAGTCTAGTTTGACTCGTGTAACTCATGAAGAAAAATATGAATATAAATGAAGTTCTTTTTTTATTTCTAGATGAATCTGGGAGTGAATGATTTTCAGATGTTTATGATGGTTTTGAACGATAACTTGTTGGAAGGCCAAAACGGCAAGTGTTATTTGAGACCACTTTGCAATTGTATGGGAACTCACGTTTGTGAATATATAAAAATCATATTTGTGCGGGAACTGTTGCTGTAGATTAAAGTTTTTAGTTTGAAACAACTTTACATTTGCAAGTTGTTCCACGATCTTGAATACACTAATATCTAGTGCTCGACACCATAATCTTCATTTTCATGTGTTTTCGTCGATAATTTTTTCTAAAGAACGTACACCTGCAACTAAAACTGATGGCGCGGATAAAGAGGAGAAAAAGCAACAGAATCTCTCAGACAGCACTGATGCTAAGTCTATAGATGAAGTATCAAATATTAAATGTCATTTTACGCTGAGTAAGGTTTGTACATTTGTACGTTGGTTTATTTTTACTCCTTTCATATATTATTTTCTGGGCAGTGCACTGTAAGTACACTCTATATATTTGTGTCGGCTTTGAGTGAGTGATATTCTTAACGCAGTACCCACATGTATGCTTTGCGTACCTATTTTAATGTTAGTAACGGAATGGAGTTAACGTTTCGTTTGGAGGAAGATTGTAACAAGTGGCCAGTGACAAGTTGGCAATGGAGCCAGATAACATTGGGAAAGTGAGCCTCGGCTCTCACAAGCCGTGACGTAGATAAGAAAGGAGTTAAACCCATTCACGATCTAAACAAACTGCTGTTTATATAAGGTGTGAAACCACACGCATGAATCAGGTCGCGGCTTGGTTGCTGCCTTTGTAAACCCTACGCTGTGCAGGTGTAGATGTCATTACACATGCGCCTTCTTGTACTTGCTTACATTCGAAAGCAAGGGGAGGGTGTGTGGGATTGGGGGGGAGAGGGGGGGGGCGAAAACCGTTGACATCAACATTAGTCGCGATTTAGAGAACTCCTGTGAGCTACGCTTGCGTCTTACGTCAGCCGTTGGATGTTTTCTCGTATAAATGGCCCGTTCATGTTAAATTTATTTTCTAACTTTTCCCGCTCTTATTTACTATTGCTGTGTGACTCTCTATAGCTTCAAGTTACTTCGCCCAAAGTTGTTGATGGTGTCTGTAAGCCTTATTTGGTTCTTGAAACAAATAACATGAGTGCCACTGTCACCATGGAAACATGGATCCTTAATGCATCTGCAAAGCTTGGAGCTATTGAGCTCGTCGATCATTTGAACAAAGGTATTCCAAGCGTTTAAAAAAAATAGGTGGAACCATATCGATTTAAATGCAGTCGAACCTCGGTTATACGGATTCGTTGGGACTAGACGAACTAGTCCGGATAATCGAGGGTCCGGATAATCGAGAATATGGTTATTAATATGGGAAAAAACTTATTAAATTAAGAAAGCGACATTTAATCCTGAAACAAAACATTTACGAATTGGCTTGAAAAAGATTTGGTCTACATCTTCACTCTCCTACGTGAATACCTCTACACGTGTGTATTAACAATTAAAATTAATGAAAAATGTTTTTACATTGGCCTAAAATGTTGAAGTAAGTCCGTTTGTCTTAAAGAAGAACATCGCCTTTACTTCACTTTTCAATGCTGTAGTTTCCAAAAGGATATGGTTACGGATCTTGATCATGACTAATAAATATTCATGAAAAAATTGGAACCAGAGAAAACGTCTGTATAATCGAGAAATCCGGATAATCGAGGACCGAAAAATCGAGGTTAGACTGCACATGTTTGCTAGTTCTTATGGGTATAAAGAATATTTAATCACTTTCACCAGAGTATGGTGAGGGTCGTACAACAGAGCGAGGCTCCAAATTAAGTGCGCCCAATATCCCACCCATCCCACCCAAGGGGAGGACATCCATCACACAGTAATCTCGTGTGTGGGAAATTAACGTCTCCTACCCCCAACCCTGCAGGAGACGGGACCTCCATTTATTCGTCCCTATCCGAGAAGATTAGAATATCTAACCATGTCTTGATGTTATAGAAAGGCAGCAAATTCTTCTCTATTATTTTAAGACCCTGAGTGTTGGTCCGACCGGGGCTCGAACCCTCGACCTCCCGGACAACAGTCCAGCGCTCTATCCATTGAGCTAACCGGTAGGCGGTTAGCTCAATGTTGAATAGCTGTTTGACTTGTAACCGATTTTCAATTCTATAGCAATCCTTAATTTGGCACAAATTGTTTAGGAGGCGTAGATGTGACTTTTGTAAGTCCAGTGCGTCTAACTGTTAGATTAGCTTCATGAGTTACCAATACTCACCCACAAGACACCACTGTAGAAAAATGGATGTTAACTAATGTAGCGAGGAAATTGAAATCAACTAATGTAGCTGTTCTGTTCGCGTTGGAAAAGCTACTCCTGAAACTCGAGGATGATATGCAGTTTCGCATGAATAGCAATACCAATGAAAAGACTCTGTCGTGTTTGTAAAACGTTCTTGTTCCTGATGTTTTGTTTTTCTTTAAGGTGCAGATGGTTTGCCAGTAAAAGTTTTGTCTTCTTCGCAGGATACAGATCTTATTTCTGTTTCTTACAAAAGAGTGAGTGAAATTACGCCTTAAAAAAATTTAAACAGAACATCATTTTCTGGGAAGGCAGAAATTTCTTGATACATTGCATGTTTTCTCGCCTGGCCCAACTGACTTAGTCAATAAGCATTATATCATGTGACCGTCGCTCTCTCTACTTTTCCTGTCTTCACTGGGTCACACGGCATTTTCCGGCCGTGCTCGCGCTATCTCATAATGTTATAAAAGTTCTCCCAGGGCCGTATGGTTCACATGATAAATTATGGTACTTTATATGTAATTTTGATCATATGAAAAGTTGTTACATTAGCTAGAGGAGTTGCATGTAAAGTTTATTACTTTTACTTTTTTTCAAAGGTTGATCCCAGATGTCCAGAATTCGAATCGACATTCTGCACTATAGAGCAGCAAATAAATGTCAGTTTTTCAAAGCTGAAAATAGATTGTCTTCAAAAGGGACTGATGGATTTGCAAATGCATGGCCTTGCTCTTTTGTCAAGGTAACATAATACAGCTACCGTACTTATTCTAGTAGACCCTGCAGTAACAAGATAAAAATACATTGTGTTTTCAATAATATGATAAATTGTTTACGTTCTAGATCTTGCAAAGAGAGGCTCGGGTTTTTTGTATTTCTAGCTTGTGCTTTAAACAGTGGCCAACTAACGCAACAGTTGTAACGTAGTAGTAACGAATGCCCAGAATTTGTCTGGTATCCATTACACTCTCTCGTGTCACTTTGTGGTTTAAATGTACAGTTGTTTTAGTTTTATGTTGATGTGAGAAAGAAAAAAAAGGCGTCCTTTTACTCTTAACTTTCTTAAAAGATTCCCTTCATCAGAAGCGCGTAAACAGTAATTGCACTTGAAGTGCATCACCAACTTATTTTTATTTACTTTCTGATAATTCACATTACTTTTTCCTCATTTTTTTTTAAACTGTAGTTTCGGAGACTCCTCAAGCGCTTTAAGTTCAGACAGTGCGAGTAACGCTGATTCAGAGCAGATAAAACAAAGTACCGTGAGCCTTAAGGTGAATGCTGAACTGTCAGAAGTTGATGTTCTTGTCAGGATCTCCCATAAAAATCTGGCCAGTATCAAGGTTGAAGGTACGTGGTCACTACATCTTCTTTTAGCAGCCATTAGCTCCAGAAGCTACCAACTGGAAAAGGCCTTCAACTATATAGAACTTGCGTAAATGTCTTTAACAGGACTGAAGTTCACCACGGTGGTACAATTTCTAACAACAATTAGCTTTTATCGCTGGGGTTCGTTTGACCTCCTTCAAAAATGATCCTATGTGAAACACTTTGTTGGCATACCCTTACAACTCTATCCAACGTTCTACTATAGGTTTAACAGCAGAATTTCTTCTGTGGGATGGCGGAATGGTTTTAAAGTCCAGGTGAGTCTTGTTTTGTTAACTGGATAACCCTTTGGCTCCCAAAAGTGACTATGATCTAAAAGTAGGTGTCCCCAATTAGCTCTATGAGCTAAATACATTGACACGGTAATAAAGATTTTATTATTATTATTATTATTTCTTGGCTTCATCTCGTGAGTCCACAACATTTTGACCACTTTCATGACGAATATCGTTGTCGACAAGAGTACAGACTACACTAAACCACCGTCGAATTGTTAATTTTTTTTATTGTAGGCAGAATGATCTCTCTGTGATCGACCTGAATAGCCAAACCTATTATCCTAAGGTAAAAATTCTCAAATAAATTGTTTGTTATTTTTATAGTTGGTGTGCCCAGGAATGAATGATAGTGAGACTTATTTACTGCCCGTAAAGGGATCAGCAAGTGTCCTCATTATAAAAATAAAACCAAACACACTTTATACGTCACAAATGAATATGTAGACACATATCGGATGTAGATCTCTAAAAAGTAAAGACCAAATACATGTAATGTTTACGTTAAATCCTGAACATAACTGTGCCTTCCAATCTGTACAAGGTTTGAGTGTTGTAATTTGTAAACTCAAATACATATTTTAATGTTATGAGATAAAAATCACTAGACCTGGCTACAAATCTGCATGCATTCGGGTGCTGGTAATGGTATGATTGATGCTCAGGCTCAAGATTTTATATACAAGTGATTTTTTGCTTTTTTTTTACGTGGGGATAATTCTTGTCAGGGTTTGAAGCTCTTTTGGGGCACTAATATAATAAAAGTTTAAAGGTTATTTTATTATTCTTAAGACTTTCTTTCAAATCAAATGTATAATCTTTTACACAAGCATTGTGTATTATTCAGTGCTCCACCGTAACGAAAAGCTGTGATTCTTATAATTATTCCACAGATTATCTCTGTGGAAAATGAAAATGTCTTTGATTTCGAGGTACGATTAACCTCCTTTTTTCACTTCGTAGTGTTTTCTTCGTTATTTAATGTTGTCAGTAGCTGTTAAGTGGACCATGCATTGTGGTCCAAATATTTGTGAGTAAGTCGTGTGTACGATAAGGTTACTGAGTTAGCTTAAGTTTGTTTTCCAAAATGGCGGCGTCATAAGTCGAGCTCTTTATACAATTCTAGACCATGTTCGACAAGGTATTATTGGAATCTCAAACAGCAGGGGAAAGGAAAAAGGTTTTACCTATCTTTATAACTGCAGAGATAAAACTACGTGATTTTAGAGCTACAATGTAAGTTCTCCTTAAAGGAAAAGTGACCGCAATGTTGCTAATTTTCAAATGAAATACCTTTACGTTGTTTTATATAATCAATATGACAACTTCATGATGAAGTCTCTATCTTTCAGTTTAAGTATTTCGACAAAGCAAATCTTCCCAAGAGTGATCCAAGTCCTGCTGACCTAACCCGACTGGATGGGAACCTTGAGCTAAACATCGGGAAAATAAACGTTGTCTTTTTGTACCGATTCATAGCGGAATTGTTGGTGAGTACTTTAGTTTTCGTGCAAAAATATTTCTTCCTTTCAGCTGCTAAACCAAAACATTGCGGCAGTTGTTAGTGAGGCGAAACAAATTAGATTGTCAGAAGCAAGTTTGTTTGAAAACAATTTCATTAAAGGCTGTGTTTATTGTGGTAAAATGTTTTTCTCGTTTGTCTCACCCGCTCAAAATGCACTGAGTCACTTGTTGTTTGTAGCGGTGCCAGTCAACAGCGGTTGACAAGGTTGACTGGTTACGTTCAACCGTATAAACATTATACTTGGCTTTGATTGGTTGGGTGGCCTGAAAATCTGTGATTGGCGCATTTCTATCTTGGCTGTATTGGTGAGTTGTGTCGTCGACTGTCCGTTGGTGTACGACCCTCTCCCTTTTTTTCTTTTTTCAATTTTCTTGAAATGCATCTTTAGGATATGTAATTTTAGAAAAATACTGTCTGTACTCTTTGTAAACTCATCTATTGCTGCATTTTTAAAAGCAATTCGTCGAGCCTTTAACAAGCCCTCAGTCAACTCAATATGTACAAGAAACAGCACAAAGGGCAGTTACTGAACAGGTAACTTTATGTTTTATGTTGCCATTGGAATTTCATAGACGCCAGCCACCCGGCCTCGTTCTCATTTGCAGTTTCCTTGTCATCTTTCTGTTACACTATTGGCATTACCCTTCCTACCCTCTCTAACCTCTCTAACTCTACTATCAGCTTTATCCCTTCCTTATCCTTTTATCCATGATCCTCGACTACCTTGTCGATGTCATTGATTCCAGGCTTTGATTCAAGGCTTTGATTCAAGGCTTTGATTCCAGGCTTTGATTTCAGGCTTTGATTCCAGGCTTTGATTCAAGGCTTTGATTCCAGGCTTTGATTCCAGGCTTTGATTCCAGGCTTTGATTCCAGGCTTTGATTCCAGGCTTTGATTCCAGGCTTTGATTCCAGGCTTTGATTCAACGCTTTGATTCCAGGCTTTGATTCCAGGCTTTGACTCCAGGTTACAATGTAATCTGCTTATTGAGTTACCGTCTGGTGTTAAATTTTTCCAGGTGGAATCAATCCATAGTCAAGCAACTCGCATTGGCTTGCAAGTGGCCATCAGTGCCCCTCTGGTGATAATTCCACGTCACTCGCGCTCAGTGGATATGCTCATTGTTGATCTGGGACATTTGGACCTTCAGAACGAATTTGATGTTCTCCCCACATCACTGAACGATGAGAACAGAGAGGCTGTGTTCGATATCATGGAACTATCTCTTCAATCGCTACAGCTAGCGAGGTGAGATGGTAATGATGTTGGCTAATGATTTAAAGATCTTCAAAGTAAAAATGGAGTGTTAATGAGAAGACTTTAAGTACAGCTCTGTCTGAGAAACAGCTTGAGATTTACTAGTGGATAGAGTGCATATGGTGTTTTCTCGTTTAGCTTCAATGTGTTTAAAAATGAACTTTGTACAGAGAAGACTAATATAATATAAATGAAAATTTACGTTACTCATCGTAATGAAATATCATCGTCTGTCTCACGATGTAGACATTTCCGATGTGGATCGCGACATTTCATATGTCTTGTCCAGGCGATGAAGAAGTACCAAGTGCAAACGTCCCAATCCACGTCCGAGGTGATCACATCTTGAACCAAACGATAAAACCCTTGCTACTTGTACAGTGTACTGAAATTGCCATCCTTCTTTACGTAGAGGTGTGATGGATATAAGTTCCTCTCCGATGATCAAGCGAAATCTCATTGAACCAATAAAACTAGAAGCGAACATCAAGCGTTCACTATTGCCCTCTTGCAATGAAATCCCAATCATAGATTGCTCAGCTGCTCTGGACTTTGTCGAGGTATTTTTCTTGTTTGTCTCGCGATGTAGTCATATCCTTTCTGAATCGCAGCCTTTGGACTATAGACTGGTATCTTTTGAGCTAAAAAAAAAGAAGATAGAGAATCTATTTTGAAATATATTTAATTTTGTTCAAATTCGATCATCCCAACTGCTTTGGGCTGTTCAGTTTTAACTTTATGTTGCCTTCTGAAGAAGACCTTATGACTATGAATGGCGCATTTTCGCTAACCCCTTAAACTCCCAGGATCGCATTGTTATTTCTCCCCTCTAGCTGCTACATATTAGTTGTAAATTAGAGACAGGAATTTGGTGTTTGATCAATTGCAAGATAACAACTTCTACCTGATAAGTTTGAGCATTCTCATTACCTATTTGTTGGATGACGCATGGATATTATATGGAGAATTTACATGTGACTCGCTTCTGGGAGGTAAAGGGTTAACCCTCGTTTTTTCCTTGATTTTTTTTTTTTTTTACTTAAAAGGAGGGACCGTTCTTAGTCTAAAGTTGGGTGTAGAAAACGCCTTTTGGCAATCGGAAGGCTGAGTTTTTAATTTTTACTGGTCACTTGATTTTTCTCTTTGTTCCACACTCAGGACAGTTGAAGTCAAAAGATATATTTATATTTTCGATGAATTTTTGATTGATACCTACTATCAGTTATTCAAAGGCTATGGTCATTTTTATACTGCTGCCAGCTGCATTGTCCTCTATCAATGCACTTTCTTGGTTTGAATTGTAATTTGTAAGTTATTTGTGTCGTTATTGTTATATTTGTTATCTTTATTTTCAGATGAATCTAGGTCGACAGGATTACCACGTTCTCACCACGCTTTTTCAAGTAAATTTGGAAGAAGCTGAAAGTGTGGTACTGGAAGGTACGAACACGTCATGTATTAATTTGACTGTTAAGTCAAAGCAGACGGTGGTCTTGTTAGAAACGACGTACCAAATGCAACTTCTATTTTTTGCGTTGTTTTGCTTTCAGACCAATCGAGACTTGACCAAAGCATGGCAAAGGAACAAGAGGAACATAGTGAACCGTCTGAGACAGCAAATACTTCATCTGGTGTGATATTATTTGCATTGTCTTTTTTCCACGTGATTAAAATGAAGAAAAACGTTGATAGTAACAGAAAAAGTTCAGAACAAAGAAAATAGTAGTGTCAGTAACCATTGCAAGCGCAAAATTTAAAACATAAAAAAAGGTTTTTCTGTCAACGGGCATAATTTTGATACTTAGCTCGTGAGATTTTTCGTTGAGGAAACTTGCTTGGAAGCGGTTTTATACAGAAACATTATCTTTACAGAACCTGATGTACCCGTGGAAAATGCGGAAACTGTGTGGGACAGGATGGTGTTTTCATTTGATCTCGTTGGAGCTAGTCTTACTCTGTACAACAATGAGAAGCCTTTGGTTAGTAAACCGTTTGATTTTTACTGGAAGTTGTCAGTACAGTTGTGCACAGAGGGCGAAATGAAACCAATCCAGTCCAGGGTTTCAGTCTCATTTGAAAATTGCTTTACAGTGGTTATGTTTACTTTACCAACTGCAGGACCCGTTTGATTCACAGTCGTCGGTCTGCGATCCAGCCACAAGGCTCTGTTTATGTCATGTGGAGGAAAGTGTAGTTACCGTAGTCTTGCCCAGTGACAGCTCAGTTCAAATTAACTGTGCACTTAATGGCTGTGTGGTTGAAGATGCTAGAAAAGGATCAATTTCTGCTTTTCCCAGGTTGGTGAATGACATGTAAGCTTGGTGATTAAGTTTGGGTTAGGGTTAGGACATTAAAGGAGCTACGCTGTTCCCTATGGTAGTTGGCGTTATCTAGACTCAAGGGCGTGTAACCAATTTGCTTACTTAAAGAGACTTCCATGTTGAAGTGTTTGCAATTTCGGGAAATTTCTTTGTATATCATTTGTGCGCTAGAATGGGTCAAACCCTCCTCCTTATTTGAAGGTTTCATGTTTTTTTTCTTCTTCTTCAAAGGTTAGTAGACAAAAAGATGGCAACACTCACTGGATCTCGGACATCTTCATCTTCCAAAGAAATGTGTGATGTAGTTTTCTGTCAGTTACCTTCAGGGGAGATGAAAGGTTTGCTTAAGTTGTTCTGACTAGTTATGAATCACATAGTTCTATCATTTTTGCAGCCGTAAGGAATATCGCGCATGTGTTTGTTCCTGACTGCTTCACTTCTACATGTCAGCTGTTTAGCGCCAGCTGAGAAAGTTCAATACTGACAGTAAAACTACGACTTTGAAAATCTTACTATTTTATCTTACCTCTCATACTGGACTGTTTAGTTTCTCATGTGCTTTTTATTTATTTATTTTTTTTATCTTTGCCAGTCCAAGTGTCCTTGCAAAATGCTACCATTTTTGTCAACTTTCCCTTTTTGCTCCTTTTACTGGAGTTTTTCACCATTCCACCATCCGACGTGGATCAACCTCCACAGCCACAAGTCTCAGTAGTCAGTCAAACATCTCTGGATGCTCCAAATGTCAGGGACCCCGAAGCTCCCAGGAAGGAGAGGGTTGTACAGATACACAAGACTGAAAGTAGAGATGTCACTTCTACTCCTACTCTTAGTCAAGTGGATGCTGCAGCTTCGCCTACTCAAGAGACGCAGCTGATGGTTTTTGTTCATGGTGTTGTAAAGGATCCAAATATTGTCTTACTTTCTGACGCCACTAACAAAGAGAGCGAGGCACTCATTGTTCAGGTGATTACATTTTTGTTTTTAACCATGTTGATATTTAGGAGGTCGAATAGACAAAGATAAAGAGATAATTACGGCTGAATTCTCTTAGTCAACGGACGTTGCTTTCTTTTTGACATGTTTCTATCCCTCTGTTATCTGGAAATTTTAACCAGTTTTCTTGCATTAAAATCAAAGCCGGTGGCTATTATGATAGATCAAATGTTTCTTTTTTAATGGCTTTCATTCGAACTGAAGCAACATTTACATACGGAAAATTGCGAGTCACACCTTGAAACGCTAGAAATAGCGTCTTTATAACATGGTTACTGAGCTCTTCATTATTTTGGCCGTATACTCGTTGATATTTAATAAATTTTCTATGTATTGACAAAATAAGAAGACTAGAACTTATGTGTAAAATGAACATTTAAAATATTTAGGCAGAAGTGGAGTTTGATTACACTTTGGAAGGTGTAAAGCAGAGTCTTTCAGCAGATTTGACAAATCTCCAGATGCAAGCTGCACAATTTCCTGAAGTAAAAAGGACATCTTATAAGGTAAGGAAAAAAAGTGAGTTTTCGCTTCTCTAGCTGAAGCTTGTATCTTAAGGTTTTGAATTCGAAGTACATTAATGAGGAGACTTGCTGGAAAATGCATAGAGTTGATAAGTTAATAGATAGCCGGATGCAACGAGCATGGGCAATAACAGTTGCCTTTGTTACAACAAATAACTTTTAGTACCTTGTCTGTACCTTTATACAGTAACCTGCATGTATGACCGATTTTTTATTAGGTATCTTATATTTTTCCAGGTTTTGAACCCTTGTTCGTTGTCATTCAAGTACTTGACACCAGCTTCGAGTGAGGGTGGTCAAGACATCGCTATTGCATTAGAAGAAATGGTGTTCGAATTCTCTCCAGGACTCCTCACCACTGTCAGTAATGTAGTTACAGCATTAACAGGACAGCAAAAGGTAGCTGTCTTTGATAACTTCAAGTTTGATTCAGTTTGCTCCACTTTGCTAAAGACAATGAACAAAAAGCGGAAAAGATGTGTACATCATATTTAAGACAGAAACGTCTCGCGGGGAATTTTGTTGCCTTGATAGAGAGGTGACCCAAGTTCATGACCTAGATTTTTATCGAGATCACCGCTGTTCAGTGGCACAGTATCGGAGCGCGTAATCCGAAAGTATGATTTTTCTTAGACCCACTTTCCGACGTAACAAAGCGAATAACATGTTTTTGAATGTATTTGTTTTTGTGGCTTTTAAGGTCGATGAAAGCGTTCAGACAGTGGGTGGAGAGGTTGTTGGCGCCCCAGCTGACTTGTGGGAAAGCAAACCAGCTTCTGCTGAGTACTGGTTTAAGAAAAAAGGTTGGTAAGGAAATAACTGTGCTTATAAATGTGACCCTCCTAGAGAAAACGTACACTAAGGTGAACGCACGGGAACGGTAAAATGATGCGCTCGACAATAGGCAGAGGGTGAAATGACACGGCAGACATGTTCGAATAAGAATTAAGGCCTTGTTTCACTATCATCTTCCCGAGATATAGGTTAAGGCCAAAACTACTTAAAGAAATATTATGTAAAAGAAACTCTGTAAAAATGCTCTGCCCGATGTTCTATTCTGTAGCTATTGAAGACGCCAAGCCCAAGCTGGTGACAAGGAATGCGACTGGCGATAAGGTTAATCATGATATACTGCCGATATACTGTTAACTCTCTCGTACCTCTCATATCTAGATTTTACGCCCACTCTCCAATAACTCCCCTCCCCTCCCCCCCCCATAATCAAAACCTGGGAGATGAAAGTGATATTGTTGTTCGTTTGCATAAGGTATCGTTTTAGTAAAAGTGTACTTAAGTCTATTTCTGTTGTGAATATTGTAGTTTCTCAAGCAAAGAGTTGTGTACTGTACTCGTCATTCATTAAATTTGGGCGACAATGCAATGAAAAAAGAGAAAATTAAAAAAAAAAAAAAAAAAGAAAATAATAGACTTTTATTTACGCCCTCACTCCGTCCCTGGGGCTTATCACCGCGCTGTTTTACGGTATGTACAGTTTCACTAGGGACGTCTGCCAGAATGAATTAGTAGAGCTGAATGTTAATGGTTTTACAATAAGTGGGTTTAAGCTCTGTATCGGATTGCGGCAAGGTTTCTGAATTTGCCGATTGGGGTATCGAGTAGTAGGTGGAATGTAAGGCCTGGAATTTATGAACTAAGTCCCGTCTAACCAAAATCCTCTTGGGAAAACTAAAACTTAAAGTAATTTTCACTTGTCTTCAAGAAGGAATGCCCATTTTTTGGGGGCGCATTAAGAAACTCGTGAATAAATAGATATTTTCTTTTTACCTTCAGCTCAGCTTAACAATTAAAGAAGTTCAAGTGGTGTTGGTGAATGAGGTCGAAGGTGCCCATATTCCCTTGCTGTTGATTCGCTCATGCGCGACAGGCAAAGTGTTTGATTGGTCTGCCCAGGTATGTTGAAGAATAACTGATGCAAGAGATGGACCATGTTGTTATCAACTTTCTGTTGAAGATATCAGCCATTGTTATTTGACCCATGTAGTAAATAGTTTTATGGCATTCGATTTAATCAAAGCGAACTCAAAACATAACTGAATAATTTTTATTTCTGTTATTTTGGTTTTATCAACTGAGCTGATAAAGTAAATTGGTCACCGTAAAGGGTTGGCCAATTTACTTTATGATCAACTTAGCTGATCAAACCAAAATTATCTTGTAACTCCCACCGACGTAGCACCACAGTTTCTTTAGAAACTAACCCCCTTAATTTTTATTTCTGTTTGATAACTTTCAATAACCTTTTCTCATAAGCGGCTGCCGATGATATTATTGCGGCTGTGCCCGGAAAGAGGCCGTAAGGTGAAACCCAAACACGAGAACCTACTTGCAGGCTCAACAGACGGCTGTAAGAGGCCTTACAGGCGGCGGTAGACCACCGGTCAGCGGTTTACCAATGTACATGAAAAAATTACGCTAGTCTGATTGGCTGAAAACGAATGCATTTTTCATGTAACACAAGTGCAAAGTTGTAACACGAGTGCAAATTACAAATAGCGCGCGCGCTGTCAAAATTTCGTCTGTCTTGACTTTTGTGATGCCTTTTTCGTGCAAATTATTAACAAGTAACAACATGATTTCTCGTGCAATTTGGTGTAAATAAGCACTTGTAAATTTATTATTACTCGAAATGTATTTTTACTCGTGCTTATTACTCGAAATCATGTTACAACTTAGACTAATCTGTAATGAAACCTCTGCAACGAAATTTATTATTACTCGTGCTTATTACTCGAAATCATTTTATAACCTAGACTAATTTGTAATGAAACCTCTGCAACGCTACTTTACTTTTTTTCACTTGTAAAATAGCTTAAAGTTGAAGCAGATGTTGCAGCACAGGTTTGTTACTACAATGAGTGTCTTGCCGTTTGGGAGCCCCTGTTAGAGCCAGTGATGGTCGAAGACGAGAATACCATGTGGCAAGTACAACTTAAGGTAATCGTTACATTTGTGTCTGCTTGCGGCGGGATACGCGGTGGCCATGCGTTGAACCCTTTAACCTCTAGGTTAACTAGAACATTTCTACTAACTGTATCGTCCCTGAATCAAGCATTTAGGGACGATGTGTGAGAATATAGGAAATTGTCACCAGCATAAAGTGGTCTTAATTGTTACACACATTCTACTTGTCGGTATCATTGGAAGTAGTACCCATGAAGAGTATGGACTCACTTAGGCAGGTTATTCCTGGAAGACCGGGAAAAACTGTGGTGTGAGCTCGCAAAAGAGTAAATGAAAAGAAAGACCATATTTTTGCGTTGCAAAAATGTAAGCGAATGCTTTTCTCTTTGTAGTTGTTCCTTGCCGAAGGATACGTTTCAAGTTTCTCCCCAAAAGACTCTGAATCGTGCGATCTTCCTTCGCGAGATGTCACAGATACACCTCAAACTGGAGATAGGACGGACTGTGGTCTAGGCTCTTTGGCTCAAAAGAGATCTTCATTCAGAAAGAAACGGCGTTTGTCTTCAGGACGGCGAACATGGTACAATTTTGTGATTGATAAGCAAGTATTGTGGAAATTGGCACCGCAAACTTCTTTTCCAGTGCGTAAAAATGGGGATTCACGGAAGTTGTCTGTAGCCCCAGTCCATTTTAAGGGATCTGTGTACTGAAAGTCAGTTTTCTCGGGAGTTCCTTTTCGTTGAAAATTATCGCGAAAGTGGAATGGGGAATTAGCGCTGTTTAAGACAAACACTTCTGGGTAAATTTAATTTGTGACAACTATCCGTAATGCTCACCTCAAAGGAGATGTTTCACATCAGTAGTTGAGAGTAATTTATCTGTCACTACAGGCCAAAAAGGAAACAAAAGCGTCGCCCTCGTATAACCGGCCCAGCATCTGACGATGAAGGGGATCTTAATTTCAACTGGGCCTTGACTACGTTCATCCAGTCCACCCAGATGGCAATCATGGATCCATCCATGGAGGTGAAGAGCGACAGTGCCATAGATGAGGTTGATGCTCCGCAGGATGGAGTCGAGGCTCCTTCCGATAACCATGAGAAACCAACGCAAGCATTGTATATGGTCATCAATTCGCATGATGTTATGCAACTGACCGTTACTTCCGCAGCTGTACGAGTTCTCTCCGAACTGAACGAGGTATTAGAAACCGTCAGATTCTAATGCTACGAGTTCGTGATTTATTCAACACGAGCGAAACTGCGATATTGTGGCGGGTAAACATGATTGCTGCTGTCAACATTACAGAACGACTATTTGGGAGAATTACTTAGTGTCAAAAACAAGATACCGACTCGTTAACAATTTTACAGCTTCTCAATCGGGAAAGAGCTAAATTACATCCGATAACAATGATTGCACAAAGTTTGTTACACATAAAGAGCTTAGCAAAGAACAAATTTTTGTAGTATTTTGTTGAAAACATGAATTCAACTCAGGCAAATGTTGTCAAACTTGTCCCAAATCTATGAGGATTACAAAGCTATGACTTGTTATAGGTATATCCACGCTATTTTTTCCTTTGAACGAGGGTGCTACTCTGAACTCAGCAAAGCTAAGATTGTAGTGTTGAGTTCATTTTTTTTATAAACGATTGTTAGCATTTTGGGCGGGATGTTTTTTTTTTTTCAGAAATGTAAACCATAGAGGTACTGGAAAAGTACACGATGTAAACTAATTTTCCTTCTTTCGTGATGTTAGCGTAGCTGATACTATCGGAGTTAACAAATGGTAAACACCACAGCGTACACTATTGAATTATGGATGCACGCGGGAGGTTACTAAGCACGAAAGAAGCGTAAGAGTCGCGCGAGGCGATAGCTGAGAGCGACTCTAGCTTCTTGAGTGCTTAGCAAACCTCCCAAGTGCATCCATAACTCAATAGTGTATGCTGTGGTGTTTACCATTTGTTTTATAACATGACATTGATACATTGTAGCTATAGAGTTCTCTTTTATTTAACAAATCTTACGCGACCTGAAAAAACAAGCGCGCGCGCAAAAATAGTCTTTGCATTTGCTCACGTCAGCAGCGTACACCCATGGGCAAATGGGGGACGCTAAATTGACCAATCAGAGCGCGCGCTTTACCTTGGTTATGTTATAATTTTATTATTATTTTTTTTTTCAGCTGTGGACGATTGATAGAGCGAAAAAACTGAGAACAGTTCCTCTGGCAACCTTCGTCATCCATAACGAGGTACGCCTGTAAAATGACAACGGTCTCCATTCTTGTCGTTATTTGTAGAAGACGTTTGTTTTAGAAGAAACCTGTGTTGAGCAGATATCCACTTCTCAGTTTTTGACAGAAATGAAGAACGCCTCTAAATGGGTTGTAATTTGATTTTAGAATAAATTGTTTGAAGCCCCGGGGTAATGTTTGATAGTGTAGTGTGATCGTCCAGGGGAGGGTAGTACTGAGGAGGACTGCAGAAGTCACTATAAGAGTCAAGATGACTCGTCTGACCTGCTGATGATGACTTCTACTGAGGTTGTCGAAACGTCAGTCACTATCGACAACTTTCCTTCACAGGGATACCCTCACCGGTTCAACCGCCTCCCGGTTAGCTCAATAGATAGAGCGCTGGACTGATGTGCGGGAGGTCGAGGGTTCGAGCCCCGGCCGGACCAACACTCAAGGTCTTGAAATAATTGAGAAGAATATGCTGCCTTTCTATAACATCAAGAAATGGTTTAGATATCCTAGTCTTCTCGGATAGGGACGAATAAATGGAGGTCCCATCTCCTGCAGGGTTAGGGGTAGGAGACGTTAATTTCCCACGCATGAGATTACTGTGTGACGGATGTCCTCCCCTGGGGTGGGATGGGTGGGTTGTTGTCTTGCGTTTCATACATAAGCCTCTGGCTCGGTCAATATGGGTGACCATGCCCCACGTAAAGACATTAAACTTCGATTACTATTACTATTACCTTGTTTATAATGATATAAATGCGGTATTGCGTCGATAAGATATTCTAAAGGAAAATTCATCACCTGACGAATCGCGAAGTGATGAGTGCGATATCCGTTTTCGAGTGCAATTTAACGCGAAATTCACGAGTCAGGTAATGGATTTTCCTTGAATCGCATAATTGAATAAAAATAAGAAAATTGTTTGTGTTTATCCTTAGAGCGCACTCAGATGTGAAACCATATTACTTAGCCTCGTTTTCAACTCGCAATTCCACGCCAAATACCTCACTTCGTTAACCAATCACAATGCGAAAATTTATTCAGTTATGCGATTCATGTACAAATTAGCTGATACACGCACTTTTTTTTTAGCTGGGAATTCACGCGGCAGTGACAGTGAGCCACAGACTTCAGGTTTGTATTTCAAATTAAAAAACTGACTTTGCTGATCCAATAGATTCTCTCTTTCACCCCGCGAACTCTGTATTTGTACCTATACGAGTTGGCCAAAGTCGTTTTATTGTGTTCTCGAGTAAGATGCTTCCTTTTCACAGTGGCTCTGTTCACTCGGGAATATAGATTAAGACCGATAGACTATGATCGATTCGGACAGATACGCTAGTCTAACCATATGCGGACCGCAACATGGGTAATGCGGGACGTCGATTGTCTAAAAACGGCCAAAGCTACGTTTCCATGAAAAATTGTTTTAAAGGGGATGAGCCAAATGTCTGTTGTATGTTCTAGCTAAAGCATCGTTTTCTCTTTCTAACTGTCCTTTTTATTTCAGGTCTCAGATACGGAACAGCTGACGGTGCGTCAGAGAATTCCAAAACTGCCAGCCGCAGGGAATGTTGGTCTTGCAGATGTCGCAGTAGACCCAGCCAGTAGGACACAACGACATGCACGTAGTGATTTTATCCGTAATATATCTGAGCCAGTACTTAATCACCTAAGAGAGAAACTTCACAAAATACGAAAGAAAAGAGCTTCATCTGATCCGGTGTCCCTCGATTTTATCAGGCGACGTAACTTATCCCTTCAGAATACAGTTTCTTTCCAAATTGGCCAAGAAGATGTTAAGAAAAAACTTCTCAGGAAGGGTCGTTCTCTTGATTTAACCACAAGGCAGACGGACGGAAACACTCTTACCCAACAAGAGGAGGAAACGAGAAGTGCCCTGCCACGCTTTGAAGAACGTGAAGTGGAAGACAGTGAGTGACACATGTGCACGTAACAAAGTAAAAGGCACTAAATGAAGACTGAGAGGCTTCGGTTATACAAAAGTGACTGAAGGATATCGGGACAACATTTTTTGATAGTTTTCCTCTTTTTTGTTTTCTGAAGACATAGAAATGAACTCTTTTTTACTTCAATTTTTCCGGCTGTGCTTTTGTTGGAGTCTCTCTGTTTACATTGATTTTGAGTACTTACCTTGAAGGTGTAAGATCATTATTATCAAAAAAATTTTTTTGTGAGTGAACTCTTATGAAAGAGTACAGTGTAGTAAGGTCCAAACGTCTTAAATGAGAGAGAAGTATGAACGCCACCATACAAAATACTTGACTGGTTACAAATTAAAAGTGTGGTTTTCCGCTGGCTGAGGGACGAAAGAAGCGGAAAACATTTTTCTCACATGCAGCTGGGAGAATGGNCTGCTCAAAAGAAACTTGGAGGAGAAGCGTAGAAAGGAAAAAGAGACAGAGGCTGCCAGCTTGACCGACTGGCAACCGACAGAAACCGATGGAGTTCTCTGGTCGAGGCCTTATGTACATAAACCCACGAAGAAGACTAACTATCTAAAGTAATACTTTAAATAAGAAGGGGCTTCGCCTTTGCCACGGACAAATAAATGTAGACATGTTATGTAAGGCAGGTTAACTTGTCCTGAATCAGTGGTTGGAGTACGTGCTTGAATCAACATAGTCAATGATGAATACGAGCGAGTGTAAGTAATTGCATTAAAGCCTGGGTACATTAATTGTTTAAGTGTATCTTTTATACATTGAAGATTACAAAAAAAAGACTAAGGCCCGGTTCAAACGTCGAACTTTACATGTGCCGAACCTAATACCTATTTGGGTCGACCTAAATAATTAAGTTCGGCAGTTGATTCAGACGTCGATCCTAATAGAGTCGAACCAAACTGCCGAATAACAAAATTAAACCCATTATGGTCAGCGGTCAAT